CTGCCTGATTTGGGGGGCACAGAGTGAAATGCCAAGGTATATTTGAGTGGCAGACAAAGGTGAGGAATTGGAGTGTGTGTAGCAGCAGCCCACAGAGGTCATTGTGAAGGACATGGGGGAATTTCCCCGAGATACTTCAAACCGTGGGGTGCTGTATCCTAGCACACACTCCATCGCACAGGGACAGATGGGGTCAATTTGTTCGGAAGTCCAACAATGGTTTGAGCCACCTCTTTCTTTTGTGTGTGGGGTGTTGGAACCGAGTACCTCAGTCAGAGGCTCTGGATGGCTTGGACTGCATACTGGACATTGACCGACACACCAGCCAATTCCTCTGCCGTCCAACGTGCCCAATTTCTGGTCAGCCCAGTATCTTCAGCCTCTCCCCTGCCAGCCAGCGAATCTGTCCGTGATCAGCAGCTCCCTTACAACAACAGCCACTCCTACAGGGGGAGCACTCCAGCTTGAGCCAACCAAGTCTCAAACTTTGATTCAGTCCAAATAAAAGTCAGGCAATTATTAGAAGGCGGCCCGAGGGTAAGACCACTCTTTGAACAGGAACTGCATGTCATAATTGAGGCCATGCACCGCAAATACGTTGTCAGGATGCACGACTTCAAAGAAAGCTCAATGTAAAGGCATCGCTGCATGGTCTGGAGGTGGAAAGTTGCTATCTGGGCGCAGAACTAACTAGCATGCGTTTGTTTTTCTAAATTAGATTCAGACGCACAATCTGGTGAGCACATCACTGGCATGGCTCTGCTTTGTGTTGAGGAAGAAACAGCCCAGGTTACTGGCTCTCCAGGAATGAGGAACTTCCATCTGAAGAAGTTGGGACTGTTCTCCTTGGAGAAAAGAGGGCTGAGTGGAGATTTGATAGAGGTCTTCAAAATCATAAGAAGACTAGAGAGATAGGAAGAAGTTACTGCCTCTCATCAAAGAGGAGCACAGATTTAAAAAGTGATGCGCAAACAAAGCAAGAGAAAAAAAAATCTTTTCATGTAGCGAGAAGCTAGGGCATGGATTGCACTGCTTGGAAATGAGGTGGAAGCAGCTCCAATTCAGGCATTCAAGAGAGCATTGGATGTTTATTTAGATAGAAATAAAGGGATATGGGAGAAAGGCAAGGGATTGGCACTAGGTAATAGAGCCAAAGAAGGCACAGCAAGTCAAAAGGCCCGCTTCTGCAGTTCTGTGAAATCACATACACCATATCCTGAAACCACGATTCCTTGTTATGAACACACCTACCCCCAAAACACAGAAAATAATCATGCACTTGAAAATAATCCTAAAAAGTTGTCAGTTTCCTTTGTTCCCCAAACTTAGAAAATAGGTCAATTTCACCAGCTGTAGGGGAGGCAGTGTTGTAAACATATCCCAGAGCATTAATATAGATACCCAGACTAGTCTAGTGACATTACCATTACATCACTATCTTTTCCAATCTTTGGGACCATTTTGAAGTCTTAAGTGGCCTAGTAATACTGAAACAACATTGACATTACATGATGCAATTTAACCCCCGAGACTTTAATAGGTCAGGTGCAATTATATTCAGATCAGTTTCCTATATCACAATTCTCCAAAAGCAATTATAAATGCACAATTTTTACAATGAGGGAAGAAAACAAAAAATCACGCAGAGAAGCTACTCAATGACATTATCAGAGGCCAGACAGAATAGCTTATGTGTTCTTGTACAGAAAAAAAAATCCTGAACGATGTGAAGTCAGAGAGTTATATGCCGTTAAACTAGAAAGACATGGAAAGCAATTCCTTTTCACCAATGCTTTTCAAGCTGCATCATTCATTTTTTTAAATACTAATATTGAACTACCACTATGTAACAGTTAATTGAAAAGTCAGTGTTCATTTTTTAAAGTAGGTTGTGGTTTGGACTGTGGTTAATAAAAGTTTGGGGAACAAAGGACACTGACAACCTTGTAAATTTATTTTCAATTATTCACCACAGATGTAGACTCCACCTTTTACACATATTACAAGGAAATTTAAGAAAATTTGTAAGAATCAATACTAAACAGTGTTGATTGCGAAGTCTGTGAATTTTACAGTGTTGTAAAATTTCAATGATTTTCCTTATTTTAAATATAACAAGGGCAATGTATGCAAATATCAACCTCAAGACATTTTATCCATTAATATAAATGGGTTGAATTAATGAATACGGCAATGAATTACAAATATCAGTATAGAATACTTACAGTCAAAAAGCTTAATTCAAGGTCACCACAATCAGACAGAATTAAAGGTCTCTCACCAAATATCAGCGTAATACAAGTGCCATCCTAGACAACACCTCACATTAATACCAGTTAATAAAACATCAATCTGTTTTAATAATTTCCAGCTTTTTCACCTTCCCCCTTAATTTTTGAACAATTATTGCTGAATATGGATGAGAAAAGGTCTTATTATGAGGTGTCAGCAGACCTTCCATTCAAAACCCACATCAATTTTTTTCCACATAAAAGCAGGCTGACTGGAACATGAAGTAATCTGAGAAATTAATAGGATGGTAAAGAAATAAAGGCTATTAATGTGTGGTCATCTGCAGCTAATAATTACAGCTCAGTTGTCCACGTGCCTGAAATTGAAATAAAGGCCTTTTGAATACTAGATGATTTTGAGCTGGTAATCTAAATATTGAGTTGTGTCTCTCTGAAAAAAAAACAATAGGTCAGAATAAGAAAGTTTAAAGTGAGTTTGGCAAATGAAGTACTACTATTAGTTCTGAGGAAGGGTCACTGGACCCGAAATGTTAAATCTGTTTTTTCCTTCACTGATGCTGCCAGACCTGTTGAGCTTTTCCAGCAACTTTGTTCTTGTTACTACTATTAGTTATATCAGCAGTGATGGGATGCTGGACATATATAAATGCAGATGTTGCAGCATATTCAATGGAGCTGATCTGACAGTTGGAAAACATTGGCAAGGTGGAAGAGTTCACAAAGTGGATGCTGGTAACTTTCAAGATGGGGAAGGTAACTGTTTTTATGGAAGGAGTCACTAAAAAAAAAAATCATAATTCATAGGTATGATGGAATACAATCATACAGCACCTAGGACCTGTAAAAGGCCTGGGACAACTATATGAAATATATATTTTTCGATAGAAAGGAGCAGCTGAAACAGGATGATTTTAGGTTCATAGATAGTGCAATAAGGTGTTAACAGTTTTGCTCGAATACTGTGGCCACTAACCACCTACAAAATGGGATTGTCATATGTAGAGAAGGAAAAACATTGAGCTGCTGAATGAGAATATTACAATCATATGATGCATATGCAACATAAGAAAACTGTGTCAGGTCATTGGTAGCCATATGGAATGAAGTACACATTGTTTTACTCAAGCTCTGTACCAATCACTTGGTCAACTGATTGATGGCAAAGTATAATGTACATGTATCTTCTATTTTTATTTTCCAATACTTAATGTTCCAGTGTCCTTCGTATTTGTCCACAGTGAATTTCATCTGGCACTCATCTGCCTACATGAAAATCCTCAAGCTGTTTGCAACATCTTAGATACTCCCTCAAATGTCACTTGGTGTCATCTGGACATTTCACTACCTTATAATGCAGCTTTAATCCCATGTCCGAACAAGAAGGAACCAAGGCTTGCAACAAGTACTTCTCCCATTCATTGCAGTTCCCTTTATGTAAGCTTTGTTTTCTTCCCTTTAGTCTGTTACTAATCCACATTCATAAATCATATTTAAGATATCAGGTTTTCATGTAGTACTTTCTGGAAACAGTTTGGTAAAGGAAAATATGGCTAATCTTACAACTTTACCTGTTACGTTTGCCACGGGAAAACTGTGGAGCAATGTAGTTGAACATATAAAAAGATAACAAAACAGCATTCTTCCATGAGGGGAATGAGAAGTGTGATTAGGCAGGGAGTTTAAACTATAAAGGACCAATATGGAATCAGAGTCTAAAATGTTGATTAGGTAAGCTTTACCTCTTCTAAAGCCATGTTGCCTTTAACTTATTTGGCTATATTCATGGTAGTGCTCTTTCTTTTTGTTTTTAGTTAGTTATTCCATTAGTTTTATGATCAAGTTAATGGATCTGTAGTCATAAGATGAAACTCTTAGTTACCTTTTTTCAGCATGCAAATGGATTTACCAACTTGTAACACTTGGCAGTGTTCAACAACTTCCTTAAAATAACCATCAACATTTAACAAATTTTATCCCTTCATCTGCAAGTATTCTGAGCCATACTCCTCTGAGAACCAGAAAGAAATAGAGAATTTTAGGGAAGGATTCCAGAGATTTGGTAGTTGAGAGCACAGCTTCCAACAGTGTAACAGAAGAGATTAGGAGATACAAGAAGCCAAAACTGAAAGCCACAAAGTAGTCAACTATTTCTTATCAATCTTCATACATAATTCTATCTAGATCCTTTATGGCTTATACTCCGTCCCCAACTCCTGGGAGCACTGAGGTTTTGAAAGATGTTAATTCATTGTCAACCAATTTATCTGCAATATGCCCCCAGTCTATGTTACTACACTTGCCCCTAGTACACCAGAAAAGCTGCAGTACAGCTACTACCACCCTCTTCGAGAATGTTGCATTCATGAAAAATTAGCCATGGATGTATATTTTTCTTTTTACTGATCACAACTAAGAACGAGAGGAATTTATTACTAACCCTTTTAGTCATAAAGGAGAGAAAGGGAGTACTGATTGGACACTAGCTTGTCATTGTCCTTATTGAAGGTATCATTGTTCAGCATCACTGCATCCTGGTCAAGTGCATCAAGGAGATAACTATAACAGACAGTTCCTTACAAGGCAAGCTGTTTTGTGGATCATACGGTTGAAAAAAAAGATTGAATTCTGACAAGTAACTGTTAACTTCTGTAAGATTAAATCTTAAAGAACATCAAATAAATCTTAAAAGAACTCAGAAGAGTTTTTAAATATCAAACAACACTTCGTCCATTGACACTCATCCACCAATTCCAATCATTAACCTTTTTATTACAATACAAGTGTGGTGGAACTAATCAGGCTTTACTCTTCATAACACTACAAACTTTGAACAAAACTGTGAATGAAAAAGAATATCAAATGGTGCTTCAATCAAATAGTTGATGTGTTAGCATGCTTATATTGCCCATCAAAAGTCTCAAGCCATATTATGTTCTGGTGCATTGGAAAGGAACAGAAATGTGATAATGTGAAAAAACAAAATTAATACATGTCAAAATCTGGACCTTTGTATATTTTACACAGTTCCCATAGCTGGCTGTGCATTAGTGATTCAATGGTTAAAGGTAACAGGACTTATTTGTTACATCTTGTACTTTCTAGCAGACAAAAGCTCTTCTCTGCTAGCAACATTCCATTTTGTTTCGTTCAGTATCAGTTGGGAGCCAGCTGGGCAACTGGTGAAGGTGGTTCAAAGACATCATCCTCAATAGTCTCCTCAATGGGTTTCATTTTTCCTGAAGTCCTAGTATATGGGGACCTTTCTGTTACATTTAAAAGAAAACAGAAACAAAATAAACATCTCTGCAATGAAATCTTTGCTTTGAAGCTAACTGTTAATAATGAAAGTAATTGTTTTATCTACAAACTTGATTACCTTCTTGTTGATCGGGGCCCTAAGCAAAATGGAAAGTGAAGCCCCACAGGTTTTACTGTCAAAGTACTCAAGATTTGTGCAAAATGCTACAACAGTTGAATGTAAAGTTAAAGTTGCCATTGTCCTACTGGACCATATGGCGGCTCTTCTCATTAGAGAGAGATGACTGACAGCGGTTTAACCAGAGAATCACCATGCCTTAGGTGAGGGAATAGGTTGAGAAGGAAGGTACTTTATGATAATCTCTCCAAGTGTGGGAACTGAACCCATGTTGTTGGTATCCTCTGCATCACTAACTGGCAGTCCAGCCAACTGAGCTAACTGACCCCCCTACAACAACTGCAGGCAAGGGTCAATTAAACGCAAATATCCAAAGTTACTGTCTAGACTGAGCTGGATAGTTATTAGGGTTTCTTTTAAGGAAGTGGTGTGGGCATGTCAAGATAAATGATTTCCTGTGCATACACTCTAAGCGATGTAAAACAAAACAGCACCTTACTGTCTGGCTTACCACTGACATGCCTTGAACCATGTGAAGTTGCTATTTACACTGCAGACATCAGTTAAGCTCACCAAAGAAAGTGAGATCTTATTCAATTCAGGTCAGTTTGCAATCCTTCAGTTCGTTTTGTAAGGAGACACACAGTTATTAGTCCAGCTTACTCAGATCTCAGATATCCTGCCATCCCTACTGCAAAGATCACACTTTCCGTGACTCACTATGCAGGAAGTTTAAAAACCTAAACATGTGGGGTAAGCTTAATGAACAGCAGATGCCACAGAAAATTAGGATCCATTGTGTTCCCATCGACATTTCAAAGGTCAACTAATAGCTCATAGCCATATCATTCTGGCTTACTTGCTAGTTCGATTCTGCACTCAAATAGCATATTTTCCTTTTGGAAACTAAAAGACTGTTATTCTGCTCTTAATGAGATATTCAATCACAGACATCATATCAAAACACAGCAAATTAATTTGTTAAAGAATTTCTTAAATATCAAAAGTGCCTTAGGGAAATAAATCAGAAAATGTTATACTGAAAATAAAAAGTTTCTTTAGTAAATTAAAACATAAAACTAAACAGTACTATAAATATAACTGGGGACAATGATAATAACATTTGTCTCCTCCATCTTTATAAATGATTATTTGTCTGGCTCCATAGGCCTACTTAAAATTTCAAGATATCCTTTAGATATTTTATCAATCCAGCAATGTCAATCATTTTCACGCTATAATCAGTTGAATTTCATTGAAATTCAGGCATAAATTGTTGCTCAAGGCTAATATTCATCACACAGTTTACCTGAAATCTTGGAGGAAAAGAAATAAAACAAATTGCATTAGTAAGTTTTGTTTTATTTAAATATGTGGTTAATACCAGGCAATGTGAAAGTGTAATGTTAAGTTTTTAACAATGGTACATTCATGCAGATTGAAGGGATACACAAAACATAATTACATCCACAACACTCAAGTACTAATGTACACACTTGATTTAAAAAGAAAATATGAGGAAGAAATTCACATTTTATTAAATCTACCTTAATTATGCTGAAAGGCCAACTAGCAAAGACAGCTTGGTGACCTAAATTCAGTGTGATTCATTACCACCTTAAGAAACAGCTCTCATTGTACATGGAGGGCTCCATTTTACCAGCTGTGCCCCATTCAGCAATACTATCAGGCAACTGAACGCATGCAATTAAACAGTCAGACAGTGTTTAATGCTCATCTAGGCATCCTGCATTTGTTGCTAGAAGAAATAGAAAGATACAGGCTTCTTTTGCTGCCAGAAATAGAACAGATGTTTCAGTTCAGCCAAATGATCAATATTAAAATGTATTTTCAAAAGGGTATGGATGCTTGACATTAATTATGCAACACCTGACCAATAATTATTACAGACTGAGAACCTTTAAAAGTCACACAAGGTTTTTGCAAGCACGTGCTAAAATGGATTTTTGTTAACCCACATGTAATGGTCACATCTTCTGTAACAGCGTGAAATGATTTTCTTCCTTTACCTCTCCTAAGGCGAAGGCTGAGGGGGCAACTGTGGCATTTTCACGGAAATCATTTAAAAGCAGGGATCAATGTGAAGGAGTGTTTCTGAACTGTATAGCTCAGTACTGAATATTTATCCACTGAGTCAAGAGTTACCAGCCTTGGCCATTCTGCCTGTAACATGGCAGTACAGAATTTTGTAATCTAGACATCAGTATAAAACCATTAAATCAAAAGAACAACAGGATCAGTTACATAATCTTCCATCCTGCAGCCATAAATAATTATAAGTGTTGCCAGTTATTCAAAAGGTGAGGAGTATCGTAGTTTAATCAAGAACGAAAAGGCAAAAAGGCTCATAAAAATGTTGACAGATTGGAGTAACAGGCAATCACTGACATCTAATTAGGACTCCACTGTTAAAACATTAGGCCAACTTCAGATTAAAACAAGGTATTGGGCTCTCTTGTAGGGAAAATGCAGGAAAGCCCAATGGCTCAAATAACTTTACAATGATGAGTTACAATTTAGGCAAAGTACTTTAAGTGCCATTACCTTTAAAATCAAGACACTGGGAAACTCAGAGAAACACAGGGAGCCTGGGGTGCCCGTCCACAGATGGCAGGGCAGGTTATACAGCTGGTTGTGAAGGCATATAGAACATTAGCCTTTATCAGTCGTAACACATATTATAAAACGAGTCAGGTTATGTTGGTGCTGTACAAAACTTTGGTCAGGCCACAGCTAAAGTACTGCGTGCATTTGTGGCCACTACACGAGAGGAAGGTTGTGACAGCCCTGGAGTTGGGTTGGAATGTTTTGGCTATGAAGAGAGGCTGCAGAAGCTTGGGTTGTTTACTTTGGAGCAGAGAAGACTGAGAGGGAACCTGATTGAGATGCACTACATGATGAGGGGCTTGGACAGGGTGGACAGAATGCAACTGTTCCCCTTAGCTGAAGCATTAATAATGAGACAGCATAACTTTAAGGTGAGGTGGGAAGATTAGATGGGATTTAAGAAAAACCTTTTTCACCTGGGGGTGGTGAGAATCGGGAATGCACTGCCTTGGAGAATAGTAGAGGCAGGAAACCTCACAAAATATGCATATGAGGACTCTATGGGCTGCGTGCTGGCAAGTGAAATTAATGCAGATAGGTCCATGCAGGCTAAATGGGCTGAAGGGCCTCTGCTGTGCTGAATGTCTATCAGATTCACTACAATTGCAATTCATGTAATCTTTCCAATATGATCGTAAATTTTAAATTGTGGTCAGTTGCGCGAGTTCTGTTATCCAGTACATACACAACAACATCATCCTGTTCTGCTTCAAGAAGTGGTATTTACTTAAAAATAAAACATCACTATGACAATGCTGAACTCCAATAATACTGCACTAATACTCCAGACTAGATTATATGCCCAAATCCTAGATCAGCAATTTTCAATCTACAATCTTCCGGTACAAAACCTGAGGACACTCTAGTTAACTGGAGTCAACAGAACAACTTTAATAACTGAATTTTCCTCTAAGACCTATTGATTTAATCAGGTTATCTCTGAATAATTAGAACAAATTAAATTCTTGATTTATATTTTTTTTTTTCAGTACCTGAGACCACGTAGTTAGTCACAATCGGACCAAGCATGAACAAAATGCAGCAGTTGACTCCTTTCAGACAAATTAGAGCAGTCTTGCAGGTTAGTTCCTTTTCACAAAGTGAAAACAACATAAAAGTGTTAACATCAAGTACAAAAACTCCACAGCAACACAGGGGAGCACACAGCTACCATAACAACCTTGATTTTGCAGAGTTGGGCATCAAATTAGGTCAGAAGATAGAACCAACTGAGAGTTAGTCTGTTGGGTCACATTGAAAGTTTCACATCCGATTTTACTTTATTTTTAGATTAGAATAGTGAAACTTATTTGTTGCTGTACAACTCTAAAGACCTACTGATGTAATCAGGGAAGGCTGTAGTGTAATAGAAATGTTACTGGACTCATAGCGGAGAACTAAGGCCAAGTCATAGGGATATGAATTCAAATCCCACCATTGCAGTTATTAAAATTTGAATTCAACAAGAAAGAAAATCTGGCTTAATGCTGAACACGGAACCATTGTTATAAAAGGCAATCTGATTCACTAATGCCCTTTAGGGAAAACAATCTGTCATCATTACCTGTTCTGGCCCATATGTCACTCCAGACCCACAGTTGTTGATGCTTAATTGCTCTTTAGAGGGTAATTAGAGATGAATAATAAATGTGATCTGACCAGTGCAATGACAAGGAAAAATTTTAAAAATCTTTTCCCAGAAAATTAAATGGATGGCTTATAAGTTTGATAGAGATTCATTTTATACGAACTGTGAAAGGAATAGGTCTAATGAACTCGAAAGGCATTTTAAAATCCTATACTTTTGTAAAATAGAAAGTGTCAAAGCACTTCTTGGTCAGGCACCATGGCCAGTTTGTATGTGCCCATATAACTGGACATAGGATAAAATTATGTCGGAGTTTTGATGCCTTATGGCAGTGATGAAATGGAATACAAGCTGGATGGTATTTGTGGAACCTGTGCCATTGGTGGTGATTTATATTAGGCATCAGCTTTCTAAAAACTATTTTATATTTCAAGTTCCTTTTATGGATCATGTTAAGATATAAGGATTTTGGGAAACATTAACAGCAGAAGTAGTGGAGGAAGGGTTCTGAAAACCCTGTTTGATGACTACGGGTTACCTTGATTTAAATTACGCAAATTTCTTGGTTAAGCGGAATTCATACTGCAAGCAGTTAGTTTCAGAGGGCGAGACTGTATCATGAAAAATCCCACTTTCTTAACATGTGGAAGAAAGGAGAAGAAAAGTGCCATTTATTTGATGCTCACGGATTGATGAAGCAGTAGATCCCCCATGTAGAAAGTGTGATAGTCCATCTTCTGTATCACTTGTACTGGCCATACTATTTCTCATTTTCATCATTGTAAGTTGGGAGCAAAGACTCGGCTGTCGCTCAAGCTTTTTGGCAGTCTGTAACAAAAAGGAAACTGGGTTTTCAGAAACAAGATAAACAGAACCTTATTTCTCAATATTGGTTACTTACTTTGAATGCCCAGATAGTAATATTCCAGGAGCCTTACTCAATGCACAGTTGCTATTATTGCATTTGGCTCTTGTCTCTAAAATAGAAGATGTACATTTCCAGTTCCACATAAGACAATATTTTGAATTTCGTTCCTGGAAAGGCCCTGCTTTGTATATTTTAAGACTGTTGGGTAACTATGAAATAATAATTTCACTGAAATAACCTTCACTTAAAACAACACCATGCCCAGAAAGCAAGGTTGATGATCCCATTATTATCTTATAAATACCTGAACCATCCTTGGAAACCAGAAATCTCACACAAGTCCAATTACAGATACTTGGTAGAGGAGGCTGTCTGAGATGGCCTCTGTGTTACAGTTCAATATCTGAGATAGCTCTCTACTAAAATATCTATGCAATAGAGCAACAGTTCACAAAAAGCTCTTTTTTATGCAGTATGCCAACTCACTTCCCTTTCTTTTAAAAAAAATTCAATGGACAGAGAGTGCTGGTTTGAGTGTGGATGTTATGTTTCACCATTAAGGGGTGTACTTCCCATTTTAAGAGAATGATTTGCTTTTTTGCACAAACAACGATTACAAGTTACGTTATGTATCCAGGCCTGCTGATTAGGGTTGTCTGTAAATTCCTCCCATATTAAGCTTCCTGCTTCCGTCCAGAGTAACTATGTGTAAAATGCATCAAGTCTGCTCTGGATACTGATACCAAGTATGTCACACTGCACCCACCTATCTCAGTCTAAATTGAAATCAGACAACACAGTGGAAGCAATGACAAGGTACTGGAATATTTTGCAGCTATTCTCAAGGATATTAAATTCAAGTGAGCCATATTAAAAATAGTAGCAGCATGTACTGTGATCTACATATGTTGTGCTTTACAATAAGGGAACTAACCTTCCAGAAGCCTCGGTAGACTCGTCTGTTACTAGAAAGTCCAATTTAAATCTCAAAGAATGGAGTGAAGCATTCCTTTAAAATAACAACATTTGGGGAGAAGGGGGGAGGGGGTGGTGAGGGGTCCAAAATACATAATATCCAGTGAATAAAACATATAAACCAGTAACTGTGTATTACACAAGGCTACAGAAGGTGTACATTTTATTGGAAAAAAATTTTGCCCAAAGCATAACCACAACATGCAAACTTTCTGCACAGTTATATGGCAGAGCAAGAGCAGGTATGAGAAAATTCTGGGCCACCATTCCTAAAATAAACTTACCACCTGATTTGTAACAGGATATTCAGAATTCCCAAGTTTTTTTTGGTTTAAAAGATCATGTCACAGTATTACAATATGCAAGGGAGCACATTGTCATTTATCACACAGTCACAAGTCTTTACATTTTCATGGTCTTTACAGATATTTCTAAAAATTAATTCACGGGATGTGGGCATCACCTGCTAAGCCAGCATTTATTGCCCATCCCTAATTGCAGTTAAGAGTCAACCACATTGCTGTGGGTCTGGAGTCACATGTAGGCCAGCAGCTTCCTTCCCTAAAGAACATCAGTGAACCAAATGGGTTTTCCAACGAACAACAATGGTTACATAGTCAGCATTAGACTCTTAACTCAAGATATGTATTGAACCCAGATCCGCAAAATATTACTTGGGTCTCTATATTAATAGTGTAGCCATAATACCACTACTGCACTGCCTTCCCTCAACTTACTTCATTCCAATTTGGTGCCCACTGTTTTCCTCCCTCCTATGCCAGCTGGCTGAAGTTTCACCAACTTTGCAAGGGCCATAATGCACGTGACAGCCATAGACAGTGCCCTTTTCCACCAAAATGGATTCAAAGCACACACACGCACAGGAACCAAGCCCAATTACAGTACTCAGCTGCCCTTTAGTGAAACTACATAAAGTAACACTAACCCAGTATCACTCCTAGGACTCTGTGATCTGTATGACTTACTAATCGTGTCATGACTGATAGCAAAAACGAGGGTGCGTTGAAGAACACATGGATTAAAACAAGACATTTGGCGTACCACCTAAATTTTATGCAAAGTTCATAGCTCTTGCAATTTTTCCATCAAACCCGGAGGTAGCAAATTCACAACACCCATTATGTGATTGTTAGCTTTTCCTTTAGAATTTTTAAAGGATTTGTATTTCCACCACTCCGATTGGACTGACAGTATATTAATGGAATGCAGTCTCCAGTTCCTTACTGGCTTTTACCAATTAATTACAGTGTGAAGGATACAGAAAAGAAATAAATATTTCTTACACAAGACTTGCTTGCTTGCCTCTTAAGATCTGCTTGCAAAAGATTATGTAAATAACGCATTTGGGCAGGAACAGAGAGTGAGGATTGGCCTGCAACACTGTGATGTTTCACATTCAATTTGGAAAATTCCATTTCCACAAAAGAAAACCAATGTTTTGATAATAGCTGAAATTTCATTCAGCATGGAGTTACTGGTATAACCACTATAACATGCACAGAATCAAAGAAATGGTACAGTGCAGACGAACAGCCGCTCTGTCTTACTTCTATTAGAGATCATATCTGCATTAGCACTGTAAAATAATTCAACATCTTGCCCCTCAGTTGTGACAGCAATCTTTTTATTATGCAATAACTTTGAATTAATTTGGCACTACTTATAATAAAATAGCAGAGCAGTATACAAGCATGAAGATTTACTCTCAACATTCACCCAACATCTTTAAATTTTCCTTCTTCAAAAAAAAGGTTATGGGTCATTTGAACTTTCAAAATAATTACAGTCTTATTACCTGTTCCTAAATATTCTGCACAAACAAAATGCATGAGTGACATTGTATCATCAAATTGGTTACAGTGTCCATCAGGTTTGTATATACAAAGCAACTGAAGATCATAATAAGCAATCACTAAAATAACAGCTCAATAGCAACTGCACGTTGTATCTAATGAAACATAACATAGCATATTTGCAGAATAAATTAACCAGAAATATTTCAAATTGCATACCATTTTAAGTGAAGGACTAATTGTCTGTTAAAACAGTCAGTTTCATTAATCAATGCCTTACGTTGGTACGTTGTGTTTTAACAGTGTTCTGACCCTTAGAACCGAATACACAAAGTTTAATTTTAACTCAACAACTTATGCCAAGATCAAATATTAGAGCCTTACGTAAAAACATTTTCTTGATAAACCATACTTATTTAGAAACTCACCACCGACACTGTATTATGTGACACTTAGTGCAGCAGGAAAGCATCCACTTTGTGAATTATCTGATAGATTTTGTAAACACCCACAGGAAGTTTTTTTCTCCTTAGAAGATAATATAAAATACATTGCAAGTCTATTTCAGCATCAGGTTGTTAAATAAGTGTGGGGTTAGGTTACAGGAGCTCAAGTGGTCAACGGATCACCCATTTTAGCACAAACCTGTATGATTCGCTGGGTCCCACATTTGGTCAATGGTTTTTCATGAGTACTCAGCCAGCGAAGTATCCGAATGTTATAATAAGCCAAGTTTAGGGGTGGAAAGAAAAACAGCTAGGATTCCAATTCCCAACTGCTGTCTATCAATCCTTGCTGGAATGTGTGGGCATTGGGTGACAACAGGAACTGGCGATGGTGCAGCAGAACAGACTATTATCACTTAGTACTTCAACTCACACGTGAAGAATAATCTGATATCCAGCAAGATCTAGTACCTCTCTGACCATATCCAAGCTGAATTTGCTACTTCAAGAGAGATAAGGGTTTAAAAAAAACATTGGAAACCAAACACCTGGGTTAATGCAAAGGTTAAAAATAATCATATCATAAATCGAATAGTTCTTTTAAAGTCATAACACAGTCTATTCATTATGTGTTTATACATTGTACCTAGTTTGATGTACATATTTAAGATTTAATAATGGCTTTTTATGTACAACACTCAGAGATCAAACAACGTGTGCATATATTAACAGAAATTAAAGAACTGTTTTTGAAAGGAATCTTTATTCTCAAGGCATATTTTTCATGCCGAATATTTTAAAATTGAGCAATCTTAATGCAAATTTCTAATCGTCTTTGGATATTTACATAATATTTATCTTCAGGCATGCAAGATTAATACCTACTTTGTCATTTAGTGTGGGGTCATTCAAAGAATACAGCTTGTTTGTGATATCTTTGCCAATTAGATACTTAAAGACTTCATGAAGAAATGACTCTGTCTCCAAGAAGAAAGTTAGCCTCTCTCTGGACCAGCACAAAAACTTGCAGTTCTCTTCAGCCACAATAGTTACCTGAAGAGAGAGGACATCATTGTGACACATTGTAACAGTCCAAGGCACTACAAGGAGTAAACATTACTTGGATCTTGATTCAAAATGTTATGCACATATGGCTTCAATCTCAATGAATGGCAATAAATGAATTACCAATTATGAAGCTCCATGGGTCACCCCTTTTCCAATTATTGTTTAAAGCCATGATATCTTTATATCATTAAAGTCATTATGTGTACGAAGTTTGCACATTATCCCCCTGTGTACAAGGGCTTCCTCTGGGTGCTCCAGTTTCCCCCCACAGTCCAAAGATGTGCAGATTAGGTGGATTAGCCATGCAAAATTGTCTGTAGTGTCCAAGGATGTGTAGGAGAGGTGGATTAGCCAAGGTAAATATGACATTACAGGGATAGGGTGGGGGGTTGGGACTGGGTGGGATGCTTTTTAGAGGGTCGATGCGGACTCGATGGGTCGAACGGCTTCTCTCCGTGTTGTAGGAATTTTATGATTCTATGACCTTGAACTGAGGCTGTGAGTAAATCCCAGGGCAGGCAAGGTGATCAGATTTCGATTCCTTTAAAACTACGACAATTCTGCGACTTGACCTGCATCTGAAAGGTTCTGCCTGAGAATGTACAATGGAGTGGCAGAGCAGGAATTCCTACTGATTTCCTCTATGCAGAGTTACTGAACACATCTGCCCCACTGCGGGTGGTGTCAGGTGGAGACCTGAATCCCCTCCACAGAGGCACACAAAATAAAAATCCATTCTGTCAAACATCCAATTTCAGAGCAATGAATTCCTGGGATCAGGTTGTTTGGTTCTCTCTTTGACAAGAACAGCATTCAACACACAACCTGTTTAATATGTCAGACGGCAGTACACAATTCTTTAAATGATGAGTACCATGTGTGTGCCCTAACATTTAAAATTAAGATATTTTGAAATTTATCAAATATCAAGACTGAACTATATAGGTTTAATTTACTTACCAGAGGTCCAATAGGCCCAAACATCATCAGCTGCCTCAATAACCTCCCTCCATCATCAGAAGTGGATGATATGTTCACTGATGATTCACAATGCTCAGCTCATTCACAGATCCTCAGATACTATAGCAGTCTATGTCCAAATGTCAGCTGACAATTGACAAGTTACAAGTGCACCACACAAGTACGAAGCAAAAATCATCTAACCATCACAAACTGAGATTCAACACAATTGCCAAAGCGGAATTCCCTATCATAAACATCAGAAACTGAGCTGAAAGAGCCATATAAATACAGTGGCTACAGCAGAAGGTCAGAAGCTAGGAATCCTGTACTAAGTAATTCACCTCCTGACTCCGTACTTTGTACAAGGCTCAAGTCAGGAATGTGATAGAATACTTCTCACTTGCTTGGATTACTGCAGCTCCAAAAATGCTCAAGAAACGTGACACCATCCAGGCCAAAACAGCCTGATTCACTGGCACCAAATACACACAAACATTTACTCCCTCCACTAGCAATGCACAGCAGCAACATTGTGTACCATCGACAAGATGCACACTGCAGAAATTCACCAAAGCTCCTTAGGCAGCACCTTTCAAACTCCATGCTACTACTGTCTAGCCAGATAAGGGCAACAGATGCACAGAAACAGCTCCACTTGCAAATCTCCCCCAAAGCCACTCACCCCCAAGCTTGGAAATATATCAATGTTCCTTCACTGTTACTGGGTTAAAATCCTTGAAAACCCTCCCTAACTCCATTGTGGCCTACCTACACTAAATGGACTTTAGCAGTTCATGACGGAAGCTCACCACCACCTTCAGAAGGACAACCAGGTATTGAAATATATGGTGGCCTCGTTAGCAAGGCCCGCATTTCCCGAATTAATAAAATAAAACATATCAGTTTCGTAACCATAAAACAACCTTATACATATTCTTTTGCTCGCAAAAAGTGGTGGGGAAAGTAGCTGTCTAAAATGGATATTTCGTTGTGTAAAATGAAAGGACAGTTTAGTCTTGGAGAAGAAAAAGGAAAGGAATGTGGCAGTGGAAATCATAAACCCACCAGAAAGGAAATTGTTAATTCTGGAATATAACACAAAAAGATTTTAATCCAGTAAAATTATACAGAATATCCACAAACCAATCTAGGACATATCTCTCTGCTTCCAGTATTCTCAAAGTACATTTCAATTCACAGAGTGAATCAGACGTTGAATGCATTATAATTTCACTGATCCCCAGAAGGCTAGAGAATAATCAATTTATAGCTCAACAGACATGATGGTTTTATGTTGTGGTTTAGTTATCCATTCACTCTGGATGGGCTAACAGAAAAACACGGGACCATGGTATTTCACCTGGTATCTCAGGATTGAGTAGGAATCACTCAGAGGGAAGGGAAAAACATCAGTTTTTTGCCAGCCACCTGTTAGCAGCAGTACTAGACCGACAGAGGACTGATACCATATGTCTGCTCCATCAAGTAAGGATTGAGCAAAAACAGCTAGAGAAATAGGCGAAGGGAGAGACAAGTTTTAAAATCTTAAAAAAAAGTACCTATTAGGGAAACGAAAAATGTAAGTGACAGTTAATATCAATATCACTAACATACTGCATCCAGAAAATGCAGACCAAGACGTTATATGAATCACGTAAGTGCATAAAAAGGACACATAACTCCCAAGTGTAGTTCACATGTACCTAAAACACCCTGGTATTGTGCTTTAATGTCAAGCTCCAATTCTCCATTTGTCAACAATGTTTCACTCATGACTTTAATCACAATTAAAGGAAGAAGCTGAATATGCTGGGGCTATTTCCCCTGGAGCGTCAGAGGCTGAGGGGTGACCTTATAGAGGTTTATAAAATCATGAGGGGCATGGATAGGGTGAATACCTAAGGTCTTTTTCCCAGGGTAGGGGCGTCTAAAACTAGAAGGGATAGGTTTAAGGTGAGAGGGGAAAGATTTAAAAAGGGACCTAAGGGGCAACTTTTTCATGCAGAGGGTGGTGCATTATGAAATCAGCTCCTAAGCAAGTGGTGGAGGCTGGTACAACTACAACATATAAAAAGCATCTAGACAGGTATATGAATGGAAGGGGTTTCAGATGGACATGAGCCAAATGCTGGTAAATGGGACCAGATTAATTTAGGATATTTGGTTGGCATGGACAAGTTGGACCGAAGGGCCTGTTTCTGTGCTGTACATTTCTATGACTCTACCAGAATTTGTCACTACAACCAGGCCCCCAACCACCAGCCCGGAAGATGAGGTAAACTCGGCTTGACTGCCAGTGGAAATTCTGGCCATGCTTTTCAGCCAATCAGGACTAATTTGCTGCCATCAGGGCTCCCATCTGCCCCTGTAATCTGGAGCTGCTGGCCAAACAGTCCAGAAGATCAACAGGATCAATTTCAGCAGGGATTCCTTAGGAACAGCCTGCTTCCCAACCAGGTAAGTGGGGTTTGAGGTTGGAGGGGCCAGTTAGACATGAACTGCCTCAGCAAATGGGGAGCATGGTAGTCCAGAGCGGGGCACGTTGCTATGAGGACAGCCATGGAGTGACCCAAGTAGGAGGTCCCACCACTGCAAAGTGGCTTTCCCATGCTGCAAAGGGTACAGTCACCACTGACACGCAAGTGTCACAGTTGGCCAGTGGGTAGGGGATCTATCCTCCATCTCCTAGACACTGGTTAAATGCCACAATAGCAGTGTTCCTAAAAGCAAATCATCAGCATTAATATACACTCTCCCAAACTGGTAAAAATATACACTTCTCATTGTTCTACCTGAAATTTTTCTCCTTTATGCATCTGAGTCGATCGGAATTCAGGAGAGTCGATGAAAGAAGTGGGGTAAATGTTGTGCAGAAAGTGCCCGCGATAAGAAACTTTCATCCTGTCACGTGAAAAAGGTAACAAAGCAATTACACTAGAACAAATGATGATGGGGAAAGTAATCACATCACAGTTCAGAGGAAAAAAAAAACACTCAGTCCTGAAATCAGATTTCTGTCCATCAGTATCTGTGCACAAGCTCTTACTAAGAAGATCACAGGAGAATTATTTGAGTCCACATGGATTAAAAATAAATTTAATCTCTATTTTAAAGAAGTTATTTATTAAAGCACCAGTTAATCCCTTTTGTACTACAGCCCACTTAACATAAACTCAACATTCCACTAATCGTTTAATTATTTTGTCTATCTGTCAACTGACTGTACTGAACATCCAACTCGTTTGCCTAAAATGTGAAATCCATTCCAGTCCTTTCTTCCCTGGATACAAAAGTGGTTCAGCTTCCACTCGCCCACACCAAAACCTATTCGTTTGTTAGTTATTTTGGGTGCGCTTGCAGCTCAAGACCTCATAGCAGTACCTGAGAGAGGAGCAAAACTACTGGGGTGTATATTTCCAAATTAGTCATCACTTAGGAAGGATGCAAATACTTCACCAACAATCAAACTTCACAGTCAGTTCCCTCAATTGGAATGTGACAATGATCTAGTATTTTTTTTAAACTTTGCACATTTCTCTTTTGTAGGAACAATCATGGTGCACTGACCCGAGATGCAAGTAACAGGATTTCATCACAAAGGATATTACTGCCTCAGGGTATTTGAGTTGTCACCAGAAATGCAAGTAGAATATTTCACATGGTGCACTGTGGAATTTATCAAACAACTGCTGAAAGGTCACAATCTGATCTTTGTAGAGGAGTGGCTATTATTTATAATTTGCTTGGCTTCAAACCAGCTTCTCAATTTACCATTTATGGCAGCAAGCCAGAGGCAGACACAACTCAAAGAAAAACGTCTGAAACACATTGAAGGATAAGAGAATTGAGCAATCTCTCTGAAATACAATACAGGGAACTGTAATTTTGAAAGAATAAACAGTTCATTAGTTGCTGCTAATTGCAAGTTTGGAAGAAGATTTGATGAAGGATAAACCAAGTTCGTGATTACAGCAGGGACACTACATTACACGTCATTTCTACTTGTATCTTGATATCAGTACTAGTTTTTAATTACATGTTAAAATATCATTGCTGTACTCATTGTAAATGGATGGCTCATATAATTCATGATTTTCCGCAATGAGCAATCAGCAAGAAGGTTTTTAAAAAAAGGGGAAAAGATGAAAATCATCTAGTGGGTCTAGATGGCATAATGTCAGTCTGACAGCACCCTTGACCATTAGTCAGAAAGCCACAGCCACACTCCATGATAAGGGCACAATCTAGACCAAAGTTTTAGAGAACAACTGCAGCATCATTTAAGGTAGTCTGTTCAGTATGTGAAACTGAACTATATTCCTGGTTGAAATAAAAACAAAAAACTGCGAATGTTGGAAATCAGAAACAAAAACAGAAATTGCTGGGAAAACTCAGCAGCTCTGGCAGCATCTGCGGAGGGAAAACTCAACTCTGCTTTCTCTCCACAGATGCTGCCAGATCTGCTCAGTGTTTCCAGCAATTTCTGTTTTTCATTATATCCCTGTTCAGATTGGTGTTAAAATATCATCAGAAAAATAGGCAGTTCATCTTGCATCTTGGCCAATGTATTCCCCTCAGCCAACATCACCAAACAGCTTTTCAGTTACACATCTTCAGTGCATCTTACAGAACCCTGCTGAATGCAAACTGGTTGCTGTTCTTGTCTACACAATAGGGTCTGTACTGCAAAATGTAAAATTGAGATGCGCTGAGAATATCATAGAACATAAATATTTAAATTCAAGTTTTTCTTAAATACAGAAACAAGAATGTCTTTACCACTTACTTTCCCTTTAGCAGGACACTAAGTCGATTGTCAACCGATGTTTTATCTTCTGCCGCGTAGGTCTGACCCTTTTTGAGTGTCATAATGTTGCAAAACTGTCCAGTCAGTCTTTGGAACAAATCTGGAGGGACATGAAGTGGCTCAAACATTCTCCTGTAAAGCACCTTGAGCTCTTTATCAATTTTAATCTGTAATAAAATAAGATGGTTAGGTGCAATGCGGTTTACCAGCTTCAGCATAACACACAGGCAAATCTAGATATACGTACACTACCAAAACCTTCACATTCTTTGGTATAACTGAATGTGAAACTACGTTGATAGTTACGGGCAGTATAAATGTTTTTCTTCTTTAGAATCAAAATTGTAAAAAGAGACACTTGCTTTAAAAGTATAGAAAACATACACTTAAAATAATGCTTTCAAAACATTGTTATTCAAAGGGTCTCAAAGGTATTAGTTCCTGTAGTTCCAAAAGTATTACTTAGTATATTGAAATTATTGCTCATGAGGTTATTTGAACCATAAGTAGGAGGTAAAAATAAAAAAAAACTTCTTCCAGGAAAAATGGAAACTGCTAGGAGCAGGTTTGATCTCAGACAAGTGCCTTAATGACCATATGACTTAGTTGATAAGTGGCTTTTAATTAATAACCAGATTAGATTGGTACTGCTTCAAGTATTGAAAAGCATTCACCTAATTTACTTTTTTGAAATGAATAATAATAAAAGCCAAATCTCATTGCAATAACCTAAGATTACAGAACACAAAACCATACAATAGATGGGAAGGTAAATAAGGGTAGACAACATGAGGTGTCAACCTTTGAAAAGACTCAAGGCTTTAAAAGTGATAGAAGACTGAGGAAAATTATAGGTTCCACAGTTTATAAATCCTGGTGAAAGGTTATGGTTTGACTATGCAAACTGTCTTTGGGTGGCATTCACTGAAGAGATAGTCACTCCACACCTCCTCACTTAAAATTTGGGGCCGAGTCTGACTCTAAATGGCCCGGTAGCCCCAAACCAATTGAATGGCTGACAGCTCTCTAGTCCCAGTGTGATAGGAAGCCAGATTTGGGAGTGTGTCCAAAACAACTATTGCCTTTACAGCCAGATATCAAGGTGAGTGGGGATATTTTGCCAGGACCAGTCAGGCAAGATCTGGGCCAGCATCAGGAGGGCAAGGGGTGGGCCAGAGTTCACGTGGCAACCTCAAAGAGCATAGATGCTCCTTAAGCAACCATTAACTGACCACCTAAGGCCCTCAGCTGGCCCAAGGCCAGGGGAAAGCCACCCAATAAGGAAATGGCAGACATACTGAAAAGTACTTTGCACCGGTAAAGCATTTATGTTACAGGAAGAGGTCAGCATTTCAGAAATCCCAAAGAGACTAATACTAAATAACGAATAACACACTAAAATTAGCATAACAGAAAATGAAGGTATGAATGGTCCAGAGATAACAAGGTGTAGAGCTGGATGAACACAGCAGGCCAAGCAGCATCAGAGGAGCAGGAA